CTTCCTCTTCCTCTTCTTCCTCCTCCTCCTCCTTCTTCTTCGTCTTCTTCGTCTTCTTCTACTTCTACTTCATCTTCCTCTTCCTCTTCTTCTTCTCCCTCCCTCGTCACATCTCAGATACCAGCATTTTCACCCGCCTCCTTGCCGGCTGCACCACTGGCGCCATGGCGGTGACCTGCGCCCAACCGACGGACGTGGTGAAGGTCCGCTTCCAAGCCCACATCCAGCTGGTGGGGACGCCCAAGCGATACAACGGGACCGTCGACGCCTATCGGACGATTGCCCGGGAAGAAGGAGTCCGAGGACTCTGGAAAGGTGCCTCTCCCCATCTTTTCTTTCCCCCCAAAGCAATTTTGGAACCCAGAACCTTCTTCCCCACCCCACCCCCGCCCCTCCCACACCCCGCATTAACCAAAATTTCCTTCCCTTCTGGGACAGGGACTTTTCCCAACATCACCCGGAATGCCATTGTCAACTGTGGGGAGATGGTGACCTACGACCTCATCAAGGAAACCCTGCTGAAGTACCACCTGATGACAGGTAAGGGAACCTCTTCATTCCCCCACCCCCCAGAGAAAAATCGGAATTCTGCATTACAGGCAGTCCTCGTTTAGTGACGGCTCCGTTTAGAGACCATTGGCGGCTACAACTGTGATGCGGGGGCGGAAGTAAATTTGCAGCCAATCTTCACTAAAGCAAAGGAAAAGGGAAGTTGGATCGCAGGCTTCGTCAGGGTTCCACTTTTCACAAAAGGCTTTGCTTAGGAACCAAGTTGCCAGTTCTAATTGTGGTCACTAAACGGGGACTACCTGCCACATAAAGAAAATGGATACTGTATAAAAGAAATGCAAGAAAACTGTAGATATATCCCCTGATGGCAGGTCAGGGAACCTCTTCATTTCCCCCTCCCCCCCAGAGAAAAATTGAGAGGGGGGGGGTAATTCTGCATTACAAGCGGTCCTCGCTTACTGACGGCTCCGTTTAGCAACCCTTCACAGTTCCAACTGTGATTTTTAAAAAGTCCCTTTGTGACCAATCTTTACACTCACAACTTTTGCAGCAAAGGAACGATGAAGGCGGACCGCAAGGGAGTCATGGTTTCACTTAACGAAATGCTTTGCTTAACAACCAAGTTGCCGGTTTAAATTGTGGTCGCTAAGCGAGGACTACCCGCCACATGAAGAAAATGGATAAATAAGAAAGACAGGAAAAGTGTATCATCTGATGAAAAATAAGGGAAGGGTTTAATCCCACCTGCCAGAGAAAAATCGGGAGGGGGAGAATTCTGCATTTACAGGTAGTCCTCGTTTAGTGACGGCTTCGATTAGAGACCATTGGCAGCTACAACTGGGATGAAAAGAAGTAAGTTTGCAAACTATCATCACCCTTTTGCAGATGAAAGTAGCTCACAAGCTTTGCCAGGGTTTCACTTAATGAATGCTTTGCTTAATAACCAGTTCTAATTTTGGTCACTAAACGGGGACTACCTGTCACATGAACAAAATGGGTATATAAGAAATACAAGAAAACTGTAGAAATGTCACCTTGTGACGTGTGTGGGGGCTTCATAACTCAAGGAAGATTTTTTTTTAAAAAAGGAAATAAATAAAATAGAAATAAGGAGGAATTTTCTGACAGTGGCCATCAATCCATGGAGCAGAAGTTGCCTTCAGAAGTTGTGGGAGCTTCATCATTCGAGGCTTTCAAGGAGAGAAATGGTGTAGGGTCTCCTGCTTGGGTGGAGGGGGGGTTGGACTAGATGACCTCCGAGGTCCCTTCCAACTATGTTAATCTTTTTTTATTATTCTGTTATTCAGAAGTTGTGGGAGCTTCATCCCTGGAAGCTTTCAAAAAGAGACTGGACTGTCAGAAATGGTGTAGGGTCTCCTGCTTGGGTGGAGGGGGGGTTGGACTAGATGACCTCCGAGGTCCCTTCCAACTATGTTAATCTTTTTTTATTATTCTGTTATTCAGAAGTTGTGGGAGCTTCATCCCTGGAAGCTTTCAAAAAGAGACTGGACTGTCAGAAATGGTGTAGGGTCTCCTGCTTGGGTAGGAGGGGGGGTTGGACTAGATGGCCTCCAAGGTCCCTTTCCACTCTGTTCATCCGCAAATGCTTTCTGAGGAAGCATATTTGGAGAGAAGGATCACCTTCTATCTGGGTTCTTGATGCCCATCGTCCTAAGGGCCGCCTTCTCTTCCCTCCTCTCCCCAGACAATTTCCCGTGCCACTTCGTCGCTGCGTTCGGAGCCGGTTTTTGCGCGACGGTGGTGGCGTCTCCGGTGGACGTGGT